TGTTGCCCTCGACCAATCCGAATACCAACAATTTTATTCATTAAAATTGATACAAATTAATAAAAAGCATAATTTAATGAAAATAAAAAATCGAAATTTAACTTTATAAAAAAGTAACTCTCCTTAATTCCTTCTAGATTTTTATTTTATTTTTTAATTTATTAGACAATACATAGCCGAAGAATAAAGCTAAGGGAAGATAACAAAAAAGAATATTAACAATTTTGTTAAGAGACAGAAAAATGATATGGGAAAAACATGGTATTGGAAGAGTTTTGCCCAATCAATGCACCCCGTGAATTTTAATGAATACCACTTGAATGGTTACCTCTTTTATGTACTGGTTGATATGTTGTAAACTTTTCCAATATCATAGTTGAACCTAAAAAGAAAAAAATAAAATAAAACAGAACTCATTTCAATTAGTGTAGGACCTATATGGTGGGCTATTATTTAGAAATAAAACTTGCTTTAATCTCTTAAATTAAATAACAAATTTATATATAAAAAATATCAAAAAAATAATAACCTAAATTTACAATAGAAAAATGCATATCAGACAAAATTTATCAAAATACATGAATAAAAAAATATCGCCCGATAGATAATAGAGGATTTATTGAAGGATGAGCTGGGTGTGTATGTTTTTGTCTCTAGTTAATCCGCTCTCATTTAGCCCTTGACAGAGTTAAAATTGGAATTGTGTAAATATCATGGTTTTTAAAACCGACCTGGAGATCGAATTGGTCAGGGATCTAGTTACCGGGTTGAACGGTTCGACTGTTCGAACCAAAAGGTTAGCCTGTTTTGACAAAAAAATAAAAAAAAATGTAAAAAGAATAAAAAAGGTCAAAATCATTCGAATGGTTAACTGCCTGGTTCAGCGGTTTGCTGACCAAAATCAACGGTTTTTTGAGAAATCCTGGTTCTGGGGAAAAATGAAACCAGCCACCAGACCAGTTCCTGGTTTTTCTGTTCCGACCGTCTGGTCCGGTCCGGTTTTGAAAACCATGGTAAATATAGCCTTTGCTAAGAATGCTGGTGTTGTTTTATGATCCTATTCTAATTAATCGGGTAAGAATAATTAACTTCGAGTTAGGTTTGGGTCATGCCAAACTTGTCCCATTGCCACTGGCATCCTCAACCACAACATCCTCTAACTCCTAACTTTTCTTTAAAACTGGTTTAAAAGAGAAAAAAAAAGGAAAGGTATGGAACTTAAACAAGATTTTTTTTAGGCTATCTTTTTCTTCTTTTTCCTATCTTTTCTTTCAAACCAAACACAGCCTAATTGGCTCCTTTATAACTTATCCAGACTTGTCCAACAGAAAAGCAACTCTTGGTTTATTATTGGTGTTTTTCAAAAAGTTGGAACCAGGGAGGTCTTTTCTTGCAAGCGAGGTTGCTTGATAATTCGTCCCTAAACATTTCAAACTGGACCTCCATCTGCCAAGTAGCCGAATTTAATAAAGAAAGGATGAAGAAGAAGACAAAAAGAAACTGCTTCACACTGCAAGAGTAGAGTTGGATTTGGATCATAATCCAGTTTAATTCTCTGGAGTTGGAGAACATGTCATTTTGAGTTCTGCTAAAATTTGGAATTGTCAATTTGGATAGTTCCAATTCCCATTATTTCCTATTTTAAATTCAACTTTTGGCCAAGGATCAAAGTATTAAGCATTATCATATTTGGTGCATACTTCTTTCCCTTGCGACTTTGTTGACCAGGATTCTCAAATCTTGGGAACAGTTTCTATGGGGTAAAACTGCATACATCTATCCCTTCCCAAATACACATAGATACACTGATAAAACTTTGGGATGAAGATGTATTTCTTTTTAAAACATATAAATAATAAAATAAAAAATAGATTTTCAGTCACCTCAATACACATCAATATATATTTTGGTCCTTATTGATTTTGTGGAAAGTTCTTAAGAAATCTCATCCATAAAACTAAAGTGAATCCTCCGCGGACCTCTGGTTTAATAATCTTCAATGGATTAAACACAAGAGATCCCAACTTGAGGATTTTTCCTTTTTCATTACTCTTTTTCGCTTGCACGCCACACTGTCTTCACGTTCAATTATTTTCATAATTAATTGTTAGACAGTTTTGTATGCCTTTAGCTTCAATCAGAATGATGTACTTTATGAGTTTATTGTAAATGAATAAAGATACATATTTGATTCATGTTCCCTTGGTATGTTTCTG